GCCACAGATCCCTTGTCAATCGCCTCCAACAAACACGCCCTCTCACCAGAGTACAATCCTCGAGACCTCAACAAGAGTCACGACGATATTGCTTCGACACAACCGACAAACACAATTCCGTTTGTTGTCCAAGACAATATCCCACCCCGCCTTACCTCCATCATCGTCACTCGGGGGCCCTTGGATGTGCCATCGACAGAACGAGGCTGCAGCAATATCTCCTCGTATCACACATCACTTCCACCACTACTCTACCGCAAGCAACAGTCCTGACTCGGACCGTTTCTCACTCCAAGCTCCAGTGAGGCCCGACACGCTTCACTCCGAATCCCGGCAACCCACCCCAGCTCTGTCATCCTCCGCCGTCTTCCGTCATCTCGCCGACGTCCTCCCATAGACGCTACAACAACAACATGAATCAAAATTTCAATTATCAAGAGCTGCAACGTCAGGTGCTACAGAAGCAGCAAGAGTTGGAAAGCCTCCAAAACCTACTCCACAATGGCCCCGTCCAAGCACCTCAGACAACTCCTCTGAACCTGCTCCCGCCCCAAGGTGACTACTACGTAGAACCCGCCATCACCCAACAGCACCAGCAACAACAACCACAATTCCACAATGGCATGCCCGCAGTCAGAAGATCAACAATGCCGAGGAGTAAGTCCAACATGGGCTACTCCTCCCACGCAGCCACAAGAATGATGGTAAAGCACCACCACCGCTCGATGCTATACTTTTCATGCCGTCCGTACTAACATGCTTCCAGGAACGCAGCAGTGACATGGACTCACCACAACCAGTCAAGCGTGCGAGGGTCATGTCACAGCAGCTCCCTCGCGCAGTCCCCATGACGGGCATGGCGAGAAGCACATCCAACCGCTCGGAAAAGTCAATTCCCTTCGTCGCAAAGGGCTCCATCGCTCCGTTGCAGACATCAAATACCCCCAACACCATGATGGATCGCTTCACCCAGTCCAGAGACGATCCTCATGTCCTGTTCCAAGCGACCCAGCCCTCGTTGCAGCGCACGCCCTCAAATCGTCGCCAGTCAAATCTCCCGAGGGTCGAGGAGAACATGCCCTACGCTGATCCCGGCGTCGGCATGAACATTGCCGACTACCTCGCAACACAAGACGAGAGCCTCCCCTCGCCGGCCATGATCCCCCCGCAACCGCAGGCTTTCTTGACGGCTGATGGCCGCAACTCTCAGGCCAGCTTGGTCGCCTCGGTCTGCCCGTCGATGAGCTCCGGCACATCCGCCCCGGAGACCACCCCTTTGACGAGGGAAAACAGCTCCTTCGACCACCAATTCGAGAGCCAGTCCCTTAATGGTGCATTTGAGATGGCCCGTATCAACTCGACTCAGTCGCAACTCGACTTTGTGCCGCAGGATCTTTACACCTCTGCCCCCCTCGGCACATCCCCGAACGTCAAGTCCGAGAGCTTTCTCGCTTACGTCGGCGCTAGCCTCTCTCAGCAGCAGTATGCTCAGCAGTCGCCCATGGACGAACAATTCTTGTCTCAGGGCTCGTCTTTGATGGAACGCTCCATCTCCGCCAACAGCACCGCTTCTACAAAGTCAACCCAGGAGCGTCGCGCAAAGGATGTGTTCCAGCAGCAGATCCAGAACGCCACCCGCACCGCGCTGGCGCCCAAGCCTGCCGATGCCACCAAGCCGTCCCAGTCCGCTACCAAGAAGGAGGGCAAGGTCGCGGTGACCAAGGGCACGTACACCCGTCCCAAGCACCCCAAGGTCTACTGCGATCAATGCAATGACCATCCCGACGGCTTCCGCGGCGACCACGAATTGCGCAGGCACATTAATGCCAAGCACGAGGGCACCATCAAGAAGTTCATCTGCCGCGACCCGGCCAAAGCCGGTCTCAAGTCAAACGTCGAGGCAATCAACCCGCTGTCCAAGTGCAAGCAGTGCGTCGCTGGAAAACATTACGGTGCCTACTACAATGCTGCCGCTCATCTGCGTCGCACCCACTTCAAGCCCAAGACCCCCCGTGGCAAGAACAAGCGGGGCGACGACGACGAGAAGCGCGGCGGCAAGGGCGGTGGTGATTGGCCTCCGATGAACGAGCTCAAGCTCTGGATGGAGGAAGTCTTTGTCACCGCCGACGATGCCGATGCTGCCGATGCTGAGGCTCAGGAGGAGGACGAGGAGGAGGCTGTGCAGCTTGACCCCTCCATGATGGACTTTTCCCTGGGCCACATGGGCGAAAACATGACCTACGACATGAACTTCCAGGCGTCGTACCCGATGCCCGAGCTGGCCATTGACACCCAGGCCTCCTCTTTTCTGGCCGTTTCCAACATGCCGCTCTCATCTGCCTCTGAGGCATTTGCGTTCTCGCCCTTTACTTCAAACTCGCCGATGAACGGCATGTCGCACGAGACGGCTTTCTCCATCTCGTCCTCAAACACGGTTACACCCACTACATACCAAGACCCGCTTGCCGAGGGGTTCGACAGTTATGCGGTCTACTAAGAAGTCTTGAATCGCTCCGATTTGATTCTCTTGATTATTTTTTTTCGTTTCGTGTCACATTCTTCCCCCATTGTGGCTGGTCTGGGCGTTGGGCTTCCTTCAGGCAGTGATTGGGCTGATCGAGACCCATTCTGCATGACGCGCACCTGCCCAACATTGCCCTCCACCACGCGGCCTGCTAGGTCGAGCAAGAAAAAGAAAACACGAAAAAAAGACAGTTTCTATTACGACCGATGATCGCGCAATGACATCATGATCAATCGCGGCTGTCTGGAATGTTGGCCGGGTGGAAGCACCCTTGGCAACATTGCTCAGCCCACCCACTTGTTACATCTTGTCTCTCGGTTATCTCGTTTCTTTTCGCCAGTCTTATCTCATCATCTATCATCATTTGTCGCTCGACAGTCGGTGGGGATACGTTTCACATGGCTCAGTGTTATGCGGTGACAGCATTCCACGCCTCCAACGAGCCAGTCGCTCCCGGTGGTGCAACCGGGGCTTCAAAACTGCTGTATATATACGGCCACGTTTTCGGACCCAAGCGTCCGCGGATTCAAAAGGGCACGTGAGCGGCGGATCGGGGATGTCGCTCCCGTCGCAGACGGTACAGGCGTTGTACCTCCGCAAGGAGGCTGTTTACATGAGTGTGATTTCTTATGCAAGGTGTTGGGGTTTGTGATTTCTGGGCAAATGTGATTTTCCAATCTAGGTAACCAGGGCTTGGGATGCCCTGCGGCGTTGTCTTCTGTATATACATTGGATCTTGGTGGGCGGTTGGGTAGACGCTCCAACGCGGAACTGCGTGGATGGATGGCAGGACTTGGATCGTCCCAGGGTGTATAGCACGAGCTAAAAGCCGAATCAGGTGTTCAGCACCTTTCCACTTCACACAATATGCTGCTTCGAATTTCTCTTGTGATATGTGTGCACTTTGTGTCGCGTTTCGCGCCTAAGTTTGTCGACTAAATATTCTGCCCACCGGTCAGGGCAACAGGGGATTTCACAAGACCTCTCCACTGTCCATCATTCCTAGGCCTATGTAATGCCTATGGACGGATCTGCCATTTCCTGGCTTTGCCTCCATCCGGTTTTGTTCCCGGCACTGGAGTCCCTTGGACGTCGACTGACTTGGATCTTCTAGCGTGATTCTCCTGAGCTCCGTCTGGCTTCTCGCTGGGTCCAAGATCAAGCGATGGCACTGCCTGACTCGCGTAAGGGTATCTAGCCTAAGAGGTATTGGCTCCCGTGCCTGCGTGTTCACCGTAACATGGACGCTGACCGCCGGTTCTCGGATCCGGTCTTGGGGATGTGGGCCCTCCGGCCCCGGGGTTTTCTTTCGGCTACAGCGCCGGCCGGAAAATAAGTTACAGTTTAGGGCGCCCCACGCTTCCAGCACTTTGTAGTCAACGATCTCCAGGTTGTGGATGACAGATGGAGAAGAGTCCATAATGGTTGATGAAGTTGGTTGATGAAGTTACGGCATGGCCGTGCTGCGTGCGGTAGTTGTTTGGCAGGCGTGGTGGAATGGGTGGTTCCGGTGGGTTGTGGTTCACCTCTGGTCTTTAAATAGGCAACGCGTAACTTCATCACTGAACGTCCGAGGTCTTAAGAATGCAAAATGAGACAAAAGGCTTTTTACTGACAATTCTTTGGATTGAAAGTTTCCTTTGCTTTGCAAAGGAAAAGAGAGATGAAGCAAAAAGGACTCCTCGACGGGGAATTGAACATCTCGAAAAGATTGGCCTCAAACGCGGAATCCAACTCGGACCTACCCCCCCAAACACGGTGTTATGCGATTTAATGGCTGAATTCTCAAGGAATCGCAGCTGACCAAGTGGAGCTCGGACGTATAGGCAAACCACACTGCTACTGCCAGCCGAGTGACGTATATTCAAATCGCTGCTGTAGCGGGCTTTGTAACGACATGCCCCGTTCAACCAAGTGCGTGCAGTCTCTCGCGTGATGAAGCTATTCCCACCGTCTCGTCACGCTCTGCACCCCGGTGAATCGTGTGAATGACAAGCCGATATCCTCACCACTAGACTATCGAGGATTGATAGTTGTTGTTGTTCATGTGTGGTGGGCGGCTGAAGGTTCATTTGAAGCTCACGATACCCGCTCCCCACTTAGGTCGTGAATGTTAGGGTTAGCGAGGAAAGGGTGTCTATCGGGCGATGGGGGTGTGGTTGGCGACGAGGACTGCAGTTGTGCAATGTTCTAGTATGAAGTAACCTGTGCAATCTACCCGCATATTTGGGAAAGGCGGTGGATGTTCTTGGGGTGCTATTTCTAAAGAGACTGGTGCGAAAATGGGTCACTCTTGTAAGTGAGCAGCGAGTTTTTGAGGTCAATTGGGAGAAGAGCAAAAGTTAATATTGATCCTAAGTAGTCAAGCGCATCTGTAGTCGATGAGACGCCGCCAGCAACTCATCTAAGAGGACATGTTGTGCAAGAGACTCTCATCCAAAGGGTTCTCTCGTCTAAGAGGGTTTCTCATTCAAGTTTAGGCCTGCTGGGGTCTTGCTCCGCCGACTTTGTGCTGGGTAACCTCCCACTTCTCCTCGTAGTTAGAGTATACTGAAGGCCTTTCCGGATCCTGATGATGGTCGGCGTCTCCCTTTAAGAAGAACACCTTGAGATTTGGCAACTTCTCTGTAGGGATCACCTCTCCAGGCACCTAGACGTGGAAAGCTTGTGGTTAACCACATAATTCCTCGGTCACAGATCCACAAAGGACCGAGAAGAAATGGGATGATAACTCAAAGATACAATTCTCCATTGTAGGTTTTCCTTCAGGTATTCGACAACATGGTCTTCTGCGAGGTGCTGGAAACCCCTCCACTTGACATCCTGGTCCACGGCACGCGGCAGCATTTGCAAGGTCATGGGCGCCTGTATCTTCGACAACTGGTCGCCACACTTCTGCGTCTCGCAGTTCTTACACGTGACGCCACTCTGGCTCTAGTTCTTGCAGAATGTGTGGACGCTTCTCACATGGTGGAGACTCGAGAGGTATTCACTCGGGGCCGAAGGGAATAAAATCAAGCTTCCGTGGAAGTACGATCAGTATTCAATTGATGAAGCTTCAGTGAATTTGCCGATACTAAAAACTTTCAACTTACATCATGCCGCGTCTGGCTGCACACAAATTCTTGACATGAATCCAGCAATGTGATGGAAGCGCCACTCATTGTCCCTCATTCGACATTCAAGAGGTAGCTGAACTCGAAACCACGGGACGACCCTTGTTTTGAGGCTAAGGAAGTTCACGGTTCCCCGTTTCAGCACGTCCCGTTACAAGTCACAAATGAGGTGATTCAAGTTGGCGATCCACAGTATGACCCGAAGAAGAACTTCATCGAACTTGTCGCCGAACGAATACCAGCCCGAAATGAAATAAGATGCAGGAGAGTTTGCGAAGCACTGATGCGATAGACGCAGAGCTGACTGAGGGGCTATCTTAGTTCATGGGCTGGAAGCAAAGATAACCCGCCGTGTCCGCGTGGATGTCTTAACAAGTGCTGAAGCAATCACAAAGGAAATGGTTTTAGTGCCGTATGTCATTTATAAACATGTTTTCTTCCTGGTATCTACAATCTACCACTCTAGCCTATTATCGCAGATCAGCTCCACATCAGCCATCTCATTCCCCTTCCAGACCTGCCCTCCCGAGTTTGCCGCTGCTACAACGCCCCTCAGATCGGAAATCATAGCTCCCGGTCCGCTAGCAAAAACTGCAGTACGGCCTGCAACGTTGTCTGAAAGGAAAGCAGGCATAACGTCCGCCATCCTCGGGTGGCTACCACTAGCGCGGATCTCCAAGGCTTTCGCAGGACCATTTGCGCGGCTACTACTGCTCCGGCTTGAGGATGACTGAACGCGGTCGATGGCATTCTTTTCGGTAACCTCAGAGGTGAGGCTTTCACTCTCCTCGCGTGTTATGTGTATGGTGATGCTGATGCCGTGGCCCTTTGCGTCGGCGAGAGCATCGAGTTCGGCGCGTACCCATTCGAGATCTTGCCGGAGACGGACGGCCCAGACGAGGGCAATTCGGCGGTTGGGATTCGCAGGCTGGCGAACAAGCCAATGGAGGGTAGGGAGGACGTAGGTAATACCAGTACCGCCGGCGATGCAAAGGACGTTGACATCGGGTGTGAGGTGGAGGGTGTGGTCCTCGCCGTAGGGACCCTGGAGGATAACAGGTGTAGTCGTCGTTCCTGCGGCTGCCATCTGCGCAACCTTGCGGGTCTCTCCTTTCTTCGCGCGGAAGATATAAGCGTGCTCGACAACGCCGTTGCGTTCAATAGGAAGATTCAGCGGGGTGAAGGGGTGGGATTGCCAGACGCTGGATTTCGCAAAGCATATGTAAAAGTGCTGACCGGGCTTCCAGACGTCGTGGGGCTGAGAGAAATCGAGACGAACAATATCGCCGTACTTCGCGTCAGGCATGAGCGCCATCTTGGCGGGAGCGGTTTGGAAGCCCATGGTGCCATCCGGAAGGTACTGATAGTGAATGAGAAACGAGCGCATAAGCCGTGCGCCGCGATCGACGAGCCAGATGGCCAGGCCGGGGACCACTAGGCATGGAATGTTAGCGTGCTCTCGAGCCTACACGTGTAGGAGAAGAAGGAAAACTTACTGAAAACTTTCAGAGGCTGCCAGTGGCCCCAACATGCGCCAATGTAGATCATTGCGAGTACATAATGACTCTTGCGAAAGAATTCGTAGCCGGTGAGGCGAACACCCCATGGAGTAGCCAAGATGACGAGTAGAAATAGAATGATGCTAGCAACACAGCCCCAGATCATGTATAACTGTTTGATCCATTTGTTGGCTACCTGGGGCTGTGGTTGGTAAAAGACACTCTCAATGATTGTCCAGCCGATCGTGTGCGCGAGGGCCTGGATCGCGATTATCCAGCCAAGCCAGCGATGCAGAAAGTTGAAGCTTTGATACGGCACGCCAGTGAGCAAGGAAAGGATGGATTCCCGCGAAGCGAGCAGGATGGAGAACGGCGTTAACGCATATGCAAGCGTGCCAACTCTATCAGACCATGCGCCAAGCCAGGACCGTCTCTGGTAGAGATTGTCGTAGCCTTTTACCGGTGTCATCCAGTCTTTGTACCAAATTCCAATGAAGGAGAAGATGGCGAGGTAGATGGTCAACATGGCCAGAATGAGAACTTGCAGTCGGGTTGTGCGACCGAAGACGAAGCGCATAGATTCCGGGAGGGTGTAGTAGCGGCAAGTGGCCGTGGCCGCCGCCCTCAGGCGACGAAGACCGCCTGCGCCAGATGATTCCACGTTGGGCTTCTTCCGCTCTTCGCCGGACGCGGATTTGGTGATGGTGGACATAACGATGGCTTCGGCGCCGGATGGCGGACCCCAAATGTGCCGCCCGATTGCCCATACGAATAGAATGCCGCCGAGAGTTGCCCAGATGATACCGGTGTAGAGCATGCCGCGCTCATGACCACCGTAGACGGATTCGAAGTATTCGCATGTTCCCGCGTCGTTGGTGCAGGGAACGACGCGGCCGGCGTAGCCCCAGTAGTCGACGACCCCGCCATTGCTGATGTTCTGGGACTGATAGCCTTGTCGGCGGAAGACGCCGCGTAGCAGCGAGTCGGCCGCTGAAGTTTCTTCGTCCATTGCGGGTGTCTGAAGTCGGGAGGAAGGAACCGGCAAGGGGCCTCGGAGGCTTAGTCGACGTTGGAGAGGCAGATCGTAGGATATATGGTTTGTGCCCGTCTCTCCTGTCTGCAGGTTATCCACACCATCCTAATGCGAAAGTGAGTCCACCACAAGTCGATATGAGAAACATTCTCGCGCCGGACTCTTCATTATGACTAAAAGAAATCGGCGAAAAGTCTACCATACCGAGGCCGGACGCTATCCGAATCTTTGCCAAGTCTATACCAACGGAGCCGGAGACCGGCTAACAGGGTTTACATTTTGTGTATATGTGGCGACGGTGGAAAGAAATAGGAAACTTGGCGAGCAAGTTTGAGCAAGTTTGTTGGCTTGATAGGGGCCGGATTGGATTAAGCGTTCCTGGATAGGGTCGCAATCAGCGGGCCCGTGAAGCCCCGCCTACCGGGCTTGCCTCTTCAGATCCACGGTCCCGCCCGGCCGGCCGGACGTGAAGCCAATCCTGTCACCTCGAAAGCAGTCAGTGACCACGAGGAGCGTAAAATGAACGCATGTAAGAGGCTTGATCGTGTTGTCCGGTGACGCCACCGGCGCATCTAGAACGGCAGTGAGGCCCTTGGTGACCTGACCCAGAATACTGCATATGCATTGCACCCGGCACGGTTCCGAGTCGGAGGAATACGACTTTGATGGAAACTGGTCAAGCAGTGAGTTCGAAGAATAAACAATCTTCTCGAGCTACCCAAGGATTGGTCGTATCCGTACATAAGACAACACGTGGGCCCCCTGCTCGCCTGTTTTATTCCACATTCGTCTGCTGGATTATTCTGTGGCTCTGAAAAGACCTCACAGTAACCTTCCGTCAATCTTTTCTCCCTCACAGCAAGTGAAGTTATTCGATCCTCTCCACGCCTGATTCTCACACGATTCCTCCCACGATCTTGCCTCTACTCCGGTCAATCCACGCAAGTCTTCACCATGGATCACGGCAGCGCAGACACGGCGGACTGCAAGGTCTCAGTACGTTCTTCCGTGCCATCTTCTCGCTAGGTACTGACGGACTGATCCTTATTTCCGTAACAGATGCTATGGAACTGGAACACGATCGACGCCTGCTTTCTCTCGTCATCATGGCAGATTCGGAACCGCGGAATGATGGCAGCTTCCTGCATTGGCGTAGTCCTACTCGTCGTTATGCTCGAAGTCCTTCGCATCATGAGCAAGAAATACGACAGTCTTATACACGCTCAGATGCGTCGCAGAGGACAGGCCGTTCTCGCTGCCGTCGGCCATGACGATGACAAGGAGGGCTGCGCTCGCTCGACTGCCGTTCCATCGCTAGCTTCCCGCAGAGTCGTCATGCGCGCTTCTCCCGTCCAGCAGATTCTACGTGCCATTCTACACGCGGTGACGTTTGGCGTTGCATATGTCGTTATGCTGCTGGCCATGTACTTCAACGGCTACATCATTATTTCAATCATCGTTGGCGCTGGTCTCGGCAAATACCTTACTGACTGGCTCTCCTGCACTGTCGGAGAACAGGAGGCCCTGTCTAAGGCGGAGGGCATTGATGAGACGACTGTATGTTGTCAGTAGAACTACTCTAGAACGAGCGACACGGCTCAGGAAGCATCAGAAGGCGCGCAAATATTACCGTCTGCCCTCGCATCTAACAGGTCTAGGCTTAGCCCGCCTGGGGCAGCAACGCCAGATGAGTCTTATTTGAAGAGTAATTGACGGCCTATGGTGCAAGTTGACAGAGAGCATAGTCTATGATACTGCCGTGATTTCATATGATCTGATGGACTATTGGTATTATCCAGCCGGCTGCACGACTTCTACATCGCCGATGTGGCAGCAGCAACAGCCAAGCCATCACTAGCAACTATCAGAGCAAATAAGCTTCTAATCCCTCCTATATTTGTCATTTTTTCCCATAGAGCTCGCAACATAAGGTGCTGCATCTGGTCCCCGAGGAAGAAGCCGATGATGTTTTAATTATCAAGGGCGCCGCAGTCGTAGCCTCGGGAGTGCTCGTCACACGTGCCGATGTACAGCCCGCAGCAAAGACCATTGTGTCACTAAATCAAAGACCGCACTGCGGTGTCTCATACATGGCCTCAAGCCATCAATTGAGACGGTCTAAAGCAAGCGACAGACCTACAGAGGTAGTGGGTTCTTTCGAAGCATGGAATGTTGGAAAAGAAAAGGTTAGGTCGATGGGCAAGGCCTGAAAGTACAACGGGGAGATATACGAGGAGTTCATACTTGTCAGGTTCCTCTGTCTTGCTACGTAATGGATCAAACAATAGTGGCGAAGACTGCTCTAGATTCACCGGGAGGCTCTCTTGGCATCACTCCGATTTAGGCTGTCGCAATATATCTTCATACGTTTGACCCTACAATATCATGAGTCTAATGCTGTCCGAATGATAATTAGGTATCTCGTTCACTCTGGGCTCAGAAAATAGCAGTCAGGTTTACCTCCCTATGCTCCACGGTCTACCTCACCCCCCTTTTCGCCGTGGATAGTTATTCACCAAGTAGGCCCAAGATAACTGGACATGGAACTGGAGGTTGTCCGCCACTTTGAGACTGATGACAGATTAATGAGCAGCGAGGTGGTTGCGGCAATCCACTCACATCAACCCCATTCGGAATGGTTTCTGCCTGCAGCCTGCATGTCAGCGCTAGGCCTTGTTCATGTGCAGCAAGCCAGAGCCTGATCTCAACTTATTTGTGTATTTCTCCCTTGCCCCCTCATGTTCTTTTTTCTCATCATCATTGCAGCTGGGATGAGCTGCCTTCCTATGAAATATGCTTGTCCACAGGATGAACACATTTGGGCTGTCCCGTTGGCTCTTCACAAATAGACAGTGCCTGTCAAATAGGTCCGTTGGCCCAACATCGGCTCTCTCCCTGGCCATCCAACATTTCCGCCTCTTCGCTACCCTCTCGTCCAACTCAAAGGTCCTCAATGATCCGGACTCCTACACCATCGGCTGGATCGCCGCGTTACCTATTGAACGGGCTGCGGCGGCTGCCATGCTCGACGAAGAGCACGAACGACCCAGAGGCTTTTTTCAACATCCGAATGACAAGAATTCATATACCTGGGGCCGCATAGGAGAGCACAATATTGTGATTGCGTCTCTGAAGGCTGGCGTCTATGGACTGGAGTCGGCTGGTTCTACGGCGTCAACTCTGTCTTCCTCGCTGCCGTCAATTCGAATTGGTCTTCTGGTCGGCATCGGTGGTGGCATCGCTCGCCCGGACGACGGTCATGATATACGACTGGGTGACGTGGTAGTGAGCCAGCCTGACGGAACAACGGGTGGAGTTTGCCAGTATGACTTGGTGAAGGCGAAGCCTGGTAACCGTCTAGAACGGAAGGGTTTTCTAGCGCCACCCCCAGACATTCTACTTCATGCCATCGCGAATATTCAGTCTGCCCACGAGCGAAAACATTCAGAAATTCCACGGTTCCTGCAAAGGATGCTGGTGGAAAACCCAAAGATGGCCAAGCAAACTAGGCAAACACCTGGATATGTCTACCAGGGGTTGGAAAATGACCATCTTTTCCGGTCTTCTTACGAGCACGCTTCCGGTCATGATTGTCGGAAGTGCGACCTCGACCAGGAGATTCATCGCGATGAGAGAGAGTCCGCAACTCCCGAAATCCATTACGGCATCATCGCTTCTGGAAACACACTTGTCAAAGACAGCGCTACCCGCGATCAAATCCTCGCAGATGTCGGAGAAGACTGCATCTGCTTTGAAATGGAAGCTGCAGGCTTGATGAACCACTTTCCATGTCTTGTCATCCGAGGAATTTGCGACTATGCCGATTCTCATAAAAGCGATCGTTGGCAGCGTTACGCGTCGGCTACTGCGGCTGCTTATGCAAAAGAACTACTTACCTACGTTCCAACCGCAGAAGTCCAGGAGTCCAAGCGCGCTCTGGATATCCTTGAGTCTGGTCAGTCTGTCTCTAGAAATGTTCCAACCCCTTGCTAGCTGGTCGAGGTACTTCAAGTGAGACTGAGGAAGATGTCAATAACTAACTAACTTGAACAAGTAAATGAGAAAATTGACAATACGCAGCAAACCACACTCGCAATGAGAGATACAGTGGAGTCACTAGCGCTTGATTCGTATGATCGAGATATTCGAAAGTGGCTGGCCGCTCCGGATCCAAGCACGAATGCGAACCGCGCTAGGGAACTTCGGCATGAGGGAACGGGTGCTTGGCTCTTCGAGAACCCAATCTTTCAGAAATGGACCTCCGGTATGCATAAACACTTGTGGCTCCACGGCATGCCTGGGTGCGGCAAGACGGTCCTAAGCACGACTGTCTTGGACCATCTCGCTCAGGATAACAATCAGGTCGTTCTGAGTTTCTTTTTCGACTTCAAAGATGCAACCAAACAAACGAATGATGGTTTGTTGCGTTCTATTGCACTGCAGCTATACCAAGGAGGGTTTGACTCGGCGGGACATCTCGACCGTTCATTTCGGGAGCATGAGACTGGGCAACAGGAGCCTACGACAGGCATACTCGAACAGATTGTTCGGGCCATCTTAGCGGACCAACAAAAAGTCTTCATTGTCCTTGATGCCTTAGATGAGTCGGAGACAAGATATCCAACGCTCTTGTGGATAGAGGACATGTTTTCAAGTCCGGAGTTGGGTCATGTCCAGATCATTTACACAAGTAGAGAGGAAGCTGAGCTTATGCGCGACATCCCGGAACTGATTGGAGATGAATGCTGTCTTCCACTGGACAAAGCAGCTATCAATGTTGACATACGATCCTATGTGTTGGCAAGGCTTCAACATGATTATGGTTTCACAAAGAAAAACATCTGCGAGGATCTTCTCGACCAGATTCGAGACAAGGTTGGCAATGGAGCCGATGGAATGTGAGTTCCTAAATTCCAATCTTGTGAAACAACTTTAGGGCTTTACTCAATCTATATCACAGGTTTAGGTGGGCTGCTTGTCAGCTGGACAGTCTAGCCAGGTGCCTCAGTCCTAGTGCAATTGAGGAACATCTCAACCGACTTCCCGCCGACCTGACAGAGACGTATGATCGAATCCTTCAAAGCATCCCTCACGACTATCGGAAGAGTTCTATGCGTCTTTTGCAGTTCATTGTCTACTCCGACTCGATGTTGAGTTTGGAAGAAGCTGTTGAAATTGTAGCCACTGACATTGAAAGCGAACGGCCTCGTTTTGATGTCAGAAATAGAGTCTTCGATGTCAGTGATATATTACGGCATTGTACAAGTCTAGTGTCAATAGGGGGCGTCGAAACAAACTCGGACGCGACACAAGTGTTGTATCTTGCACACTTTTCAGTTATGGAATACCTTCTAGGTCAGAAAGGCTTTGGACAAATGGATGCTAGCAAAGCCATCACGACAACATGCCTCATCTATCTGAGAGATATTGAGGGTTCTCACTGGAGACTCGCATACGACTTCCCGCTGGCGTCTTATGCTGCTCGAGTCTGGTTGGGATTTGCTGTTATTGCAGAAGCATCCGAAGACGTTGTCAGACTGATCGTTACATTTTTGCGCGAAGAGGAAGTCTTACAGCGGTGGTTGTTCTTGTACGAACCCAACCCGAGTTCTTGGGATGAGCTTTACGAAACATCGGGCTTTTACTATGCTTGTGGTTGGGGACTGAAGATGGTCGCAAGATCACTCATCGCTGAAGGGGCCGACGTGAATATCCAGCAGGGATACCTCGGGAACGCACTTCAGGCAGCTTCTTACTACGGACATATTGACGTTGTACAGCTCCTTCTCGATCACAATGTAGATTTACACGCGGACGGCAAATATGGAAGTGCGCTTCAGGCCGCCAGCACTCGAGGTCACCTCGACATCGTACGGTTACTTCTCAATAACCATGCGGCTGTCAATGCCCCAGGCGGGCTTTACGGAAACGCACTCAATGCTGCCTGTTTCAATGGCAATGTTGATGTCGTGCGTCTTCTCATTAACAGCCAGGCAGATGTTCAAGGCCAAGAAGGTGATTTTGACACTGCACTTATGGAAGCCTCCGCAGGGGGCCATCTTCAAGTTGTCCAGATACTACTTGATCAGAACGTAGATGTCAACGCTGAAGGGTTCGGGGGTCAAACCGCACTTGAGAAGGCATCCGAGCACGGCCATCTCGAAGTGGCCAAACTACTGCTTCACGCCGGAGCAAATCCCCATGCCCAGTCTGTGGTGCACGGGACCGCTCTGCAGGCGGCTTGTCCATACCATCTCGATCTAGTGCAGCTTCTACTCGATGAGGGTGTTGATGTCAATACAGCAGATGGCCTCTCCGAGACACCGCTCCGGTTAGCAATCCAGCATGGCAATGAAGAGATTGTGAGGATATTGATAGATCGCGGGGCGTGTACTAATACACAGCCGAAAAACGACGATGAAAGCAACCTGGAAATAGCATGTTCGCTGGGAAAAGCGGATATTGTGGAGATGCTATTGAGTCATGGATTTGATGTCAATGCACCAAGTTGCAACATCAATGCCGCTCTTTATAACGCATGTCAAAGTGGCAATGAGGACATTGTCAAGATGATAATCGATCTTGGGGCAGATCTCAACGCCCGAAGCGGTTATTTTGGCACTCCTCTTCATGCCGCTTGTCATAGAGGTGACGAGATCATTGT